TAGTCTTATTAATGCTAAAAGAAATATCAAGTGAATAATGGACTTCCCTGCTGATATTGCAATCTCTAATCATAGTAAAGAAATATTGAAGACTGTCTTATAGAAAACTCCGGCTGCAGTTAAAATTTTTCTCAAAACCTGAGAAATACCTAAGCCATTCTATAGTAGAACATAGCTGAATTCAAGCAAAATACCACTTTTTTGAAATGACGTAATTTTTAATATAATATTACTCCATTTGCAGAAAGAAATCAATTACATTATGAGATTACAAATAGTCTTTTGACTACAAGTTTGAGAGACGGCAAACTTGAATCCCTGTTAATACATTCTCAATTAATTCTAAGCATTTAGTGGCAAGTGAGAGCAAGTTCAGGTGTGCTTCAATGCATATCTTGATAATCTGAAAGCCAATATATATACAATATATTTTAGGTTGTATTATAGGTTGAAAACCTTTCTGAATTGTTTAAATATCTTTTAGTCTGATTACAAGCTTCTAAAATAATTTCCAACATAGGGGGGAAAATTGTTTTCGATAGCTGATTTTTCACGCTAAAATTTATGTAATTTATATTGCAGCATTTTACGTATGTTTTACGAAACATACCTTGACTAGTTAAATATGGAAAACTGAAAAATGATAAATAAAGAAAGTATATATATAGTTAAATATGGAAAACTGAAAAATGATAAATAAAGAATAGAAAAAAGTAGACTATTAGAAAAATAACAAAACAACTTCATAATCAAATCTAAAATAATGTGCTGTATGACCTTTTGCTTGCAGAAATATTTAAAGTTTTCTTCGCAAATTTATAACATTCGTACTGTCATTTTCATTGTTTAAATGTATTTCGCCAATGTAATATATAGATGCTGTGAAGATGTCCTTATGTGTTACTATAATACTTTTCCATATTTAAAAACAAGTGAATAGCCATTAAACTATTTTATGTGCTTTGAAAAATTAAGATATTGCTGGTTTAGTATCGTTTTGATAGTAAGAAATGAGTCAACATTAAATAAAAAAATTTAACAACCAAAATTATTTATGTTCTGTTCCACCACAAAGAATCCTCTGGCTGTTATAAAAGATATCCCAAAATGTTTCTAGTTCATGTAGTCTTTTAGTATGACGCAGAGGGTTACATGCTTCAGATGGCACCCTATCTTTAAGAAACATATCTGTAACTGATAGAAAATTTAATAATCTTCTGAAAATTAGACAACTGACTAGCGTCTCCTCTTCCCTTTGTTGGAGGATATAAATCCTAATGTCATTTATACAAAAAAGTCTCGAAGATGAAACGTGAATGACGTAGAAATCTTCTCAGTCGGTTACCCAAACAGAGTGGGAAATTATTCTAGAAGATTATATTTCTGCGATAAATGATTACGACCTTCAATCAAAATCATTTAGAGCTATTAAAATTAATTTTCATATCTGTATTTCTTAATTAGCTATAAAAAGTTACACACTATTTAATAACTTGTGTCATGAATTACTCCACTGGCTCTTGGCAACATAATCAACCGTTCTTGCGCTCTTTTAAAAGCTGCATTACTCAGAATACTAAAACTCAAGCAAATTCGGACATATTTTCCTCCTACTGTTGTTGTCGTGAATATAAGATGAATATAAGGCGGGCAGAGGTGTACTGTAAGGGCAGGGTAACTGGATCTAGTTGTAGAGCCATCTGCTGCGCAAACATTTGTACTAAATTTAGAGATCAGGCGAATGAATATCGAAAACGAGCTGGATGTGGCAGCGATTAGTGATCTTATTTGATTGTTTATTTAATATTAAGCAATTTAAAAGAAACTAAGGACTTTAAAAAATAGCTTATTATTATTATTATTATTATTATTTTGAATAAGAAATGTAAAACTGCAAGTTATTGGAAAATTTATATAATAATAATAGCTTAAATGGTTATTAATAGAATAGTTTATTTTACCATTATTGCTCCATAACCTATTGTATTACAAAACTAATATACATATATAACAAAACTAATGCATATATATATATATATATATATATATATACTTTTCCATTCGTTGCATATATATATATATATATATATATATATGCAACGAATGGAAAAGTATACACCAAGAAACACATATCCTACCTGTCAATTATCACGGGATCGGAGGGTGTTTCATTTCTGTTTCCACAGCTCTTCTTGTCACAGCACCGACTAAAAGCAGGTAAAAGAAATCTTTAGTTACATTTTAAAATTAAATCGAAGCATATATTTTAATTCCAGACACCGAATAAAAATAAAAGGTACTATTATTGAAAAATGCAGTATTCTGTAATATAATTCATAGTGACAAATTAAATTATGCCTGACTGTGTCAATAATTTCCAGAAAACATTTATAAGGCACCCGAAATTATTAGTTGGATTATATTAATAGACTTATTAGTAGTCTTCATTTTAATTCGTAGATGTCGAGCAGCTTTTATTATAAACATTACTTCCATCTCATTGTCTCAAAATCTACAAAAAAAAAATTATTTGTTATTTACTTATTTTTTTATAATCTTCAGAAGCCAAAAAATGCACCACACGCAGAAGAAATTTTTTGTTATATCATTAAGAGTGTAGCTGTTAAGCCTGCAGTTTAAAATTGGTACAGAATAAAAGTCACAGAATACTTAAAAAGGGTTAAAAAAAAAAAAAAAAAAAAAAAAAAACTATGATTCAAGTAAACTTAATTTTTTTAAAGTTAATTAGATAAAAATTTCTTATTGATATGCATTTCGTATCTATATTAATTATTAATCTATATATTTCGTAGCATATTAAATATCTAAAAAATTTCTAATATGAGGAAATATGACGAGATACACTCTAATAACATTTTCTTCTTTCTGCCTCATTTACGTAAATATTTACTAAACGTTTGATTTAAAACTGAGTTTTAAAATTACTATTAAATAATAATAATATTTTTTTAATATTAAATTTTTTTTTTTTTTTTTTTTTTTTTTTTCTTCTGAACACCAGTCTTAATTGAGAAATTCGAAGAAAAAGAGTTCCATAAAATAAAATTTATATCATATAGTATCGTCTGCAGTTTTGGCTTAAGAGTAGAATGAAGTTTTGTATATGCATAAAGTAGAATTATTCATGTCTTCCTTGCTAAATCCTGCTTGGGTTCATTTTTTTCTTTTTACAGTTTCTTTCTAATTAGCCTTATGAACTCAATCTTTCTCTCACTGTTAACAGGACGCTGATGAAAAACATAATGTATCTACTCATTAAATTTTTTGCAGAGAAAATTCCACCTTATTTTCTGTCTGTAAACAGCACAATTTGAAAACAAATTACTAAAATTCCGATACATTGATTTGAATTAGGTACATAACCAGTCTAAAACAAAGGAGTGGTTATCTAGTCATTATTTATAAGAAGTTTTGATATTGCTTATAAAACAGCAAGAAAACTCAAATGGAGTCAATTGGACTAGAAGCAGCATATTAAGAAAACGCAATTATCCGGAAAAATCAATATCCATCAGGTCATTAAGAAGCGCAATAGTGTAAATGATAAGTATAGTTTACCTAGATTGCGATCGCACCGTAATTAATCATACGCGAGTAACTAGACTATACTATTGAAATTAAATAAGTTATAGAATTATTAATTCTAGGCTGGAGTCAATTCAATGTATATTAATAATAAGTTTTTTATTTATTTGAAATTTTATTTTTAAAGAAGGCAGTTTGAGAAAGACATCAGAGTCTGGACTATATTGTTATCAATGATATTAATATAAATCATTAGCAGTATACTGATTTAGGATTAAGATCATTATCAAGAAGTTTTCTGCATGAAATAATCTTTACCACTGCTTCTGCAGTGTTTCTAAACACAGACAGTTTTAGATAAGTTATTAAAATTTATTTAAATCATCAATTCGATAATTTTTGAAATATTTGTGTTTACGGAGTGGAAAAAAAAACATATCGAGTGCGGAAAAATACTGTGAACATTAATAATTATAATATGATGATATACACATGAATATCTGAAATTTTACTGCTAGCTATACTTGCAAGAAAACAAACACCTTAAAAAGCTCCTTGAAAACTTTTATTTTTGATAAAAGAATTCATATTTAAAAAAAATTACAAGCGAAAATGCTTATTTATCATAATGTCTTAATTCTACCGAGTATATTTTCCAAAAGCATTTTTTATTCACTAAGACACTTAAGATAAATTTCTTTTAAAATGTCTATTAATTTGCTCGCAATTACTTCTTGCTAAGAAAAGTAGATACTTACGTATTAACGCAACCAGGCCAAAATTCGCATAAATCGCCAAATTTGGCGACCCTATTTACGGCAACCCTACGTGTTATACGTAGTTTTGTAAAAAGAATTTATTTGTAAAAAGAAAAAATAACACTGGGCGTGTACTACCACAGCAATGGGTTTTCGACGGAATTTGCCGAGAAAAGAAAGAGACTTTTTTGGTTACTGTACCTAACAGAAGCGCCGTTACCCTCATGGAAAAAAAATTTGCGAAAATATCAAGGAAGGAAGCATCATTTATTTGGATTGCTGGAAAGGATACAATACAAGCGAGTTCGAAAATGCTGGATTTCTGCATGGAACTGTTAATCACAAATATAACTTTGTGGATCCCAACACGGGCGTTCACACACAACATGTAAAGCGCATGTGGGGCTCAGCCAAATGGCGCAACAAAAACAGAGAGGAACAGCCCGTCATTATCTTGACTCATACCTTATCGAATTTATATGGCGCCAAGCTCAAGCTGTTAATGGCGAAGACGGTTTTCAATCAGTGCTAAAAGCAATAGCCAAAAGATTTCCGCCGAAAAAAATAATTCTGCAACTTATTCAAATTCGAAACCGGAAGGGTTTAATTGCTATTTTATATTTTAAAAACAAATAATATAAAAAAACTGTATTAAAAATTATCTGTAATTAATAAATGTGCATTTTCTTTCTATTCATACTTTTTTACTCAAACTTACAAATCGCGCCAACCTGGTTGCGATAATACGCAAGTACCGAAAAGGTAAACATAATTATATAAAGGAAAAGGGATAATTACTACGAATAAAAAGATAATTAAAAATTATGGCCTACAGTCCGAAAAAAAGAAAAAGGAAATTAACACGTCTTTTATTCTCATCAATAGACTTTGGTAGGGACTGTTTTAACTTAGACGGAAACCAAATTCCTATTACTAAAAAATAAATTAAAATGCACATTTCTATGATTTTGTATAATTCAGAACTAGAAGGAGAAAAATTTCTTTGCTAAACTTATATTTTATTCAATGTAATCATACAAATATTAAAACCGGAGTACCGAAAGTGAAACTAAATTAATAATATAGAGAAGAAAAAAAAAAAGGTACTATTCGGTTTCGAGGGCCGTAAAAAATCGCCAAACCAGTACTGCCAAAAGTTGATGCCAGTGCTGCCAAAAGTAATTGCGGAACCCTAACGCAAGAAAGGAATTATAATACTAAATATCTATTTAAATATTGATGTTTTAATTTAGATGAAAAGTTAATTTCATATAATATTTCGCTACCGAGTTATCGCTAAAGCATAATGTGATTTCGTTGGTTGTTCAAACATAATTTTCCATGATGAATGACGCCTTTTCTTTGAAAACACTTTCGGTAAAGTGCAGAATCGCCCGCTTATTTCTTTGCCGCTTTTTACAAGGGTAAAAACAATTGGAATTTTGTCAATTTTCTTTTACTTTTTAAGTGACAATAGGTCGATGTGTACATAGATAAAGTCAAGGGTGTGCGCGGTGCCATTTTTGTGCAATTCTGGGATTTTTTTTTTTTTTTTTGAAATAAGTCGATGTGTACATGGATACCGAGTATGTGCAATTCTTAAAAACGCGTCAAGCAGTGGGTGATTCTGCACTTTACCCAAAATTCTATCGCAGACTTTTCATCATAGGTAATTCCTAAATTGTTAGATCCATAGGATATCAAAAAAGGAATTAAAAATTAAACTAGTATTTCAATGGCGTCTTAAGAAATACAGAACTATATAAACTTACGCAATCTGAAATCAGCTCGTACGCGAGATTTGGCACGCTGGTAAATGGGCGTGTATGCTAGATTTGGCGCTTTCGCGCATACATTTTCGCTGCAATTTTTTTATGGCCCTCGAAACCGAATAGTACCAAAAAAAGTAAACTAGAAGTTGTCGCCAACTTGTGGCGTTACCGCCATCGATTTCATAAAAATCATACTTTTTCTTCTATTAGAAATGTATTTTTATCCTATTCCTTATAAGTAACGTGCTCTTTAATTACATCTAGTTCTCGAGTCAATTAAAATGTAGTTCGGTCGAAACTATCTTTACTGTATACTACCTAAGGCAAGCCGATAAAAAAGTATCTTTTTGTTAAAAACAGATTCTGCAAATGAAAGATAATTAGAGATATCTCTTTCATATGTTCATTTTCTAATCTGTAGTATCTGTTATTTTTCCTTTCTGCCCTTCATCTTCTTTCCTCTTTTTTTTTTTTTTTTTTTTTTTTTTCCCTGGTTTTGATTTAATCAGATTACAATGCCAGCATGCTTAAAACAGAATCGAGTGTAAAAAGAAATGCTAGGAGAATTTCCCTTCTCATTTCGTGAAAGAAATTCCGCCAGATAAAATGAACTTAACAAAGAGTCATAATTTTTTAGCTCTTTATAGAGCCAGAGATCTTATGTAACGCTACCGTTCTTTCCCTCTCTTCCATCTTTTTTATGGCAATCTTGAAAACCAGAGAAACATTAAAAACGCTTTATAAAGAAATAGGGAAGTTTTCTTGAGAAGGATAAAGGAAAATTTTTTAAATGTATTTTATGCTATAGCTTATTATTTTCTTATTTTTTTAGATTTTAAGATCAGAAAAAAATTCAGAGCATTTTCTTAACTGCACATAACTTCGTACGTGAGTAAAACGTGGCACATTTCAGGATTTTTGTCTTGGCCTTCGTACAGGATAGCCTAATGAATAAAAATGGTATTATCTGTGAGTTCAAAATATAACAAAAGAATTGTATTGTTTTTATAGGAAAGGATTTTAAACTTAATGGGCGGATGGTTTCAAGATTTACATATTTCAAAATCATATGTAAACAGCACAAGTAGCCCTTTATATACCAATACATGTGCTTAAATACAGCGTAAGTAAAGAGTTTTATTTTAATATATTGCATGCCGTACTTCGTTTGATTTATTTGGAATATCTAACATTCAAAATAAGCTTTTCTTCCTATTACAGCTTAAATAATTTACTTCTGACTTACAAATCACTATTTTTTACTTAATCACTCGTGCTATTAAATTTAATATCACAAAGTTGTAAACACTTCCAAGTTAAAAAAATTTGTACAATTTTCGTAATGAAAATTTTGACTCTTGATTCAATAGTAATCCCAGTAATGAATTTTGAAAACAGGCGACGTAACGTAAAACTTTAAATCACTTTTTCCATGAAATTTAGAATAAATATTACTTATTTGTAATTTTTAATTGAAACGTAAAAATTTACTTTTGAAAGTAAGTGATGATATAAAAAAAATGCGTCTAATCCATAATCTGAAGAATTTCTAATAAACAATATTTTATTTAACATTAGCAGATGTAGAAGCTCGAACGATTTTCTAAAATGGTTATTTTCTAAGAATTAACAGCTAACTGTTTAGAGCCTACGATTATTAAGATTACATGTGTAAAAGTCCTTCAGCATTGTAAGTATTCATTGTACATTGCCAAAGATTTAAATGGGGGGGGGGGGAGGGGTTCTTGATATTATTTGCTACTGTAGAGAGATACAAAAGTTTTCAAAAGAAAGTAAGTGTTTCATTTTAAAATACAATAGGCATTTAAGGCAATGAGACATATAATGACACATGAGTAAGTTTTCTCTTAAAGGCTGCCTTATGTTTAGTTTAAAATGATTAGAGAAACCGCCTCCAATTCTTGATTTGTAAAATTCAGGTACCTCAAAGAATGTATTTAGACGCAATGCTATATAAAAAACAAAATTAATTATTTGACATGGTTTCAAAATTCAGAACGTCTCTACCTAATAAAAAACTGTGATTTTAAAGTAGCGATGCTTGGAATTTTCTTTCAAAAGAACTAAAAGTATAAAATCAGTTATGTTCAGCATTACTGAGCTCATAGTATATCAAGCCCATAACCTACAATATTTAGTCCAATATACATAAAATTCTTTTCAAAATGCCTGTGATGTCAATTATTTAACAAGAAGAAGAAGAGTAAATATTTTTTCATTGAGTAAAATGTAGAGCAGAAATTTAATATGAAGTAAATAAAATTACAATTAAGATACAATAACATGCCGAACAAGTATTAATTAGTTAAACAACAAAAATCAGCGTTATATTTTCAAATTTTCACAGGACTCCTTTCGATGGTTTTCCCGAACCATCATGATTTGCTGATGGTTCGGTAAAACCATCGAAACGAGTCCTGTGAAAATTTGAAAATATAACGCTGATTTTTGTTGTTTGACTTCTAAATTAAAATTACAATTATCAAGTAAATATAATTGCTCTAAACAAATAACAACACAGTTTAGCATTCGTCACGGATCTCCAAAAAATGTATCTACATATTTTCATCTCAGAAAGTGTAGGAAAAGTGGACCTTAATCGCAAACATATACTACTATATCACTTCTTAAAAGATGTTGCACTACTAACTCCATATTAGTTATGCTATTCCTTTAGTTGATGATGATATGCTGTTTTTTTTAAATTTTTTTCAATAAACATAATCTACATTCAGCATGAACAAGTATTTTTCTCTTTGCTATGATATCAAACTCCCTTTTAAAACAAAAATAGCACAAATTTTATAAAGCACTTATAAGTTTTGAGCATCTTATAAGTTTTGAGCTGCTTTTCCCCACCACCGGTTGGAAAGCTTTTATCTAAACTGATTCACAATCAAAAAGAGCTTCTACTCTGGCAATCTCAAGATTCGAACATGGATGAACATCTCCAAGACGATAGCAGCATACATCAGTGTAGTTCACTTGATGTATATTTCAGGTTTAGGGACATTAGAAGATTTAGAAATCATTAACGTAATAGAATTTTCTCTGAAGGATGCTGTGCCGAAATCCCTTAGGGAATAACATGCTTAGCGATTTCCTTCCTTTACATCGTGTACCTGGGAAACGAAAAGGATAAATCAAGGGTGTCGCACTCTGTGACAGAGAGAATGGTGAGGGCACTTAAAAATGCTTTCCAACGGATATCTTGATTAATGACAAATGATTATTGCCATAATTGATCCGTGAGTGTTTCATCCTTCTTCATTAAGATTAATGGGCCGGAACTGTCGGGAACGTTTCATATTTAAAACCTATTTAGCTGAAAGCTTCTCAAATTTGCGCGCGTCATTTATGACCGGGATGCCTCCACAAATCTTTGACTATTGGTAGAATTCCAAACTTTTAAAATTTCTAGACCGTGGACGTTTTATTTTAAATTCCGGTCTTCTCAGGCGTAATTTTGGAGGATCAATCATTGATTATGGATGATTCAGTATTTTTCTTAATATTTAATCAGATTGACTATATCTGATCGAACCGGTTTTTATGTTTTAATTTCATTTTCGTGTTTCAAATCTTTAAATTGACAGCTTTATCGCTTTCATTTATTTCTGTTCCTTCATAAAATTCATTCATTTTTTTCATTTATTTCTCTCTTTCCAAAATTTTATTGCTTACTTATTCATGTTACAAGAACAGATTCTTTTGAAAATTATATATTCGATACTGGTTATCTTATAAAATCAACGAAGCGAAACTGAACGTTTAAAAGGTGTTCTTTAATGTCCGATATCAGTTGCATTAAAATCAGACACGACGGTTCGTCTTAAATCTTACACACACACACACACACAAAAAAAAAAAAAAAAAAAAAAAAAAAAAAAAAAAAAAGTTAAAAATTTAAAACTCCGTTTCTATTTTATGATGAAAAATTAAATTTATTATTTCATTATAAACAAGAGAACAACTCAAAAATGAAGAAAAAGAAGTCATGTCTTACCTTAGATACAATCGTATTCCAGACATAACAATTAATGAAACAGGCTGACAGAAAACTCATTTAATCCATCCAGCAGTGTAATCCAGAAATAACCATCACAAAACTAACTATACAGTTCCGTCCCAAAATAAGTATCAATACAACCTCGCACCATGGTTATCGTTCGACAACAAATTTTACTCAAAAGTGAAGCAAAAACTTGATAATAATGGAACACTTTATCGGTAAATACCTTCATTTAGATCCTTCAACGCTATTCTAGTCGGCCTTTATGCCTTATGTGGGTTGCGACAAAAATAGTTCCAAAATCAGTTATAAGTTGAGAGTGTACAGGTGGTGAGATTTGTTCCGGATCAACTGATATGCTGCCTCGCGGGCTCCACGCAGCGATCATGGTTCTCCAAGGAAAGGTGTATTGAAAGTGCAGAAGATCTAGCCAATTATAGCATTTCGTCATGCGTTGGCAACAAAAATAGGCTGTTGCGATACTGTATAGTATTGATATCGATATTATATAGTTTATATAAACTCAATAGACTTTACCAAAGTTTGTTATGGTGAAGTAAAATCTTCAGCCCAAGAAAAGAGAAACACACCAAAGTGAAACATAAAATTAGCAAAGCAACAAAATTAATGTTTGGCGTAGATTTAGACAAGATCTCTAAATCTTGACTAAATCTATGCCAAAAACATGATTTGTTGCTTTGCTAATAAACAATTGATAGTAGAGAATATTAACGTCTGCGCCATGGTGCTATCTAGGCTAGTTGAGCCATTGCAACGAGCTAAAATTCAACACGTTTGTTCGAAGATTAAATTTTGATGTTAGAAACATCCAGTGCTGCGAAACCTCAGCGCTTTAAAAAAAAATTAGTATTATGAATTCTTCGCTTAATTCATCCGGAGTACTCGAAAGTATTTTAATTCTTTTTCAACTTCTTGATGTACTTCCGAAGTCTAATTTCTAAATTTTTGTGGCTAATTTGGCACCTCTTCGAGTAGTTCACCTGAGACAAGGCCCAATCATTGGCCCAGTTTGCCACCCACAGTAAACATTAGTGAACTAGGTTAGGTTAGGTTATTTAATTACGGCAAAGCCTCGAGGGCTATCTGCCTAAAGAGAGGGATGCCCTTCGTGGAGGACTTTCTAAGGGAAACTGGCTCGTATATACGTTACACGTGGGGGAAAACCACGAAAACACCTATGCAGCCAGCCCGTTCGCGGGATTCGAACCTCGAACCGAACTACCAGTGTTCAGCGACTTTACCGTTTGCCCGCTGGTGGGCCATTAGTGAACTAAATGAAAACTCATAATAAATGTTGCTTTAGTACATTGCTCATAGTTCTTTGTTCATAAATGTTTCCAGCTAAGCAAGAAAACTGCGGCTTGTTGTTGTGCAATGAAATAAGTTGTTGTCACACAATAATCAGCTGACATAACATTTTCTTAGTACCAACCATTGCGAAATCAATGCTGTCTGTATGCCCTCGTTATCTTCCAATCTGAAGAGAAGAATGCGAATTTTGCTTGAATTTAGAAGGCAAATTAATTAAATAACATATGAACAGGAAGTAATCTATGTAAAGCGCAGTGCACCTGGTTGGACAGAGTATATGAGGTTAATGGGGGTAGAAAATAGTTCATTGTATGCGGAATCAGATGTTCCTAGCAATCGAAAGTTGATTCATCTTGTCATGAAGTGTTATTTTGATTTTGCTAGCATTCAGTTTATGTTAAAAGGCTAATTTTGCTGCTCTTACATTTCTTACCATGGGAAAGCAAAAATAAGAAATTTACAAAAATCATTCGTTACAATTTCGAATATTTGTCTTCCGAATATCCAAAAATTGCCATTTAGATATTTGAAAGATTTGGCTTGTTTATTTGATTACGACAAAGCATTCGAGAGCTATCTGCCTACGAGGAGGGATGCCTTCGTGAAGGACTTTTAAGGGAAACTGGTTCGCATACACGTTACACATGAGGAAACCACGACAACGCCCATGCAGCCAGCCCGATCCGAACCTCGTAACGAGCTCCCAGTGTTCTGCGACTTTACCGCTCGGCAGCTCGTGGGCCAATATTTGAAAAAGGGTAGTTTGAAACTGCTTAGGGAGCATCTTGGAACCAGCGAGCACTGCGTTGACGATACCTGGTTGAAACGGTTATAAGCTATATACCTAGTATTCAAGAACGAGAAATAGAATTTCATAAGGTTTCTGTGTATAGTATGCATCATATGACGTAAAGTGAAAGCCTTTATGTTAATTCCGTCATTGCAAAGGATTAAGTATAGGTACGTTATGCGCATACGAGTGCGTCTCCATTATGCATGTGTTCATATTCCATAGAACAATCGCGAAAAACACTGCGTAAGTTTCCGGTTTGGATTTCTAAAATCCGTTGTGCCAAGCGAAATAATTCGAAAATGTTCTAATTGCATGGGCGTTTTCCTGGTTTGCCCCATGTAATGCCAGTTTCAATTAGAACGTCCTCCACGAAGGCATCCATTTCCCTAGACAGATAACCCTAATGAGATTTGCCGTAATATCAATAAAAATCAAAGCACAAAGTTTCAGAGTTCTGCAACCAGAGTTTCAAAAAATAAAGTGCATTCAAATAATTGTACAAATGCATAAAAATTTTACTTTTAAGCATACTTAAAAAGATACAAAAGAACTGAACATTTATTACAAACTGGAAAACATATATATTAATTCAGTGTACTGTAAAACAAATGCTGAATGCAAGTGTGTACAAGGCACAATTAAATATAAACAAACATACGCGGATAATAAAAACAAAGGTCTACACGAGTTAAAAGCAAAATTTTAACGTAGTATTTTAAAATACTTTGCATTTTCTTTTACATTATTGTTAAGTATCTCGTAGTTTGCCATATCTGCATGTTCACCCCAAGACCTTCAAAACATACTTGCATGTGCATTGAAGTTATATTTAATTTTTCAAGAAACAGGTTTTAAATTTTTAAACATCTCCTCGAAGTGGCATGTGCAACAGTGGCATGTTCAAAATATTAAGGTATGCCATAAGTTTTCTTGTAACTAATAGGTGTACATCAGTGTTGCCAGAAATTTAATTAAAGTAGCAAAAGAAGACTCAAAAAGTCGCGAAATGACGTCGAGGATCACGGGATTTTTGTGACATCATAGTTAACCTATGTTCACATGACCTATGACGCCATTACAGATTTACAGTCTGTTGGTTCCTTAAACGTTTTTCAGTCGCGACCCCTTTGTATCACCGAGATTTTTTTCGCAACTCCCACGGGATCCATAATATTTACGAAAATTGTGTGGGACCCCATAAGCATTGTGCAAATCCGACACACGCGTGAGTGAAACAGTCAATTTTTTCACTTGCTTACTGTAATATACTATTGCAGTTTTAGGTCATTAACTTTAATTTCTAATTTTAAGACATAGAACAATGTGAAAATTTTAAAAGAGTAACAGACGAAATGACAGCGTCACGTGCAAAGCAAGGAAAATGAACGTTTATATTATACAAAGAATGTGTCGAAACGTTTTCGTTTTTTTCTTTGTCTGTATTGTCTTATCTCTATCTATTTTCAGATACATTGTGTAAAAATATTTGGTAATTGTAAAATTATTATAATAAGTTAAAGAAATATCAGAACTGCTAAAATTTTTGGCGACCCCCTGCCGCAGGTCCCGCGACATCCATGGGGGCCGCGACCCACAGTTTAAGAAACTCTACTAGAGACAACATTGTAATTGTTGTTAGTTATGCCTACTTGTCTTACAGTAACACCAGCTCAAGCCCAGGAAATTCCTCGTGGCATGGAGTGCGCTCAAGATACGTCTGTCGTTGGGAACATGCTCGAGCACCTTACAGTTGACAGTGCGATTTTGCTCAGTTCCACCCCCAATTTCGATGCAGGGGAAAGGTCGGAGGGTCTCCCATCCCTCTTCCCTTGCACCAAACCACATGAGAGGACTTTCGGCTTCCCGCATATTTAGACTGCCGCCATGCCACACCGACCCTATACATTTATGAACATCCATGACTTCTCCGGGATTCGAATCCGGGCCCTTCGGCACGGCAGTCAGCGGTGCTAACCACTATACCAGCTGGTCGGCACAGATAACACTAAAAGATTATGGTACAGCAAGTAGCACAGCAGATGGTTGTGCTTACAAACATGGATTCTGATTCGGTTAGTTAAATCATTGTTAAGGGTATTAGAATTATCTGGTTATAGAAAGGGAATTCTTTGTGAAGGACTTTCACAGAAAAAATTGCTTGTATTGGTGTTGGATATGGAAAAAACAATACAACCCATCTTTCAGCTAGCCGTTCACCGAGCTTTGAACTCCCATCAAATTACCTCTGTTCAACGGTTTTAGTCGCTCGATTACTCTAGAGCTACATGAACAGAATATAAGAAATGATTTTCTTATATTATTACTCCATACCACTTTATTTTAAAAACTACATACTTGAAAGAAATTCAGCATTATTTTATCTTTCTTAATGTCATTCAATTAAAATTCGGTTTCATTAAGCTTTAACTGACTGATGTTTTCGAATAAGTCAACACCAACTCAATTAATCGTATGCGAGAATTCACGGCTGGAAGATAATATTTTGATTCCTAAGTACCTCGACAGAAACTGCTTACATTCTTTTGTAATTCTTGTTTAACTAAAGGAAGCAAGTGTGATATATCCAACATACCTTCTTCTTAGCAAACAAAGTTTTTAACTCCTTCTTTCAATTCAGCTCACAAAAACAAAGGAAAAAAATTCTCATACCATAAAAAATTTAACGAAAGAAGTTCTTGTTCTTTTACTCGAAAGAATATGTTAACATTTTTATTCAGTGAATTAAAGACGGCAAGAATAAAAAAAAAAAAAGTAAATTCAGCAAACTCGTCTAGAATGCATTCATTCAGGCAAAAAAATAGGTGACATCGAGAATAAAATTCATGAGTTGATTCCGCCTTTGCTCCTTTCGAAATACTCCGGGGAAATAAGTGTGGAAATCTAATCACTCTTAAAGGCCGTAATACATACAGGTTTGAAGAACGGATTGCTATTGTTGAAAATTGCAGTGATCAAGTTTTTGCTGACAGCAAATGCAGACCTATGGCCTGTAAATCCAGTAACGTGTTTCGGAAAAATACATGAGAAAAGAAAGGTATTCTATTAATTATATTTTTCGATACCAACATAAAAGAATGAAATTCATACATTATTTTTACTCGTATGCACACGACGGTGATGGATTGCTCGATTACCTTCGGCACAAATGTGTTCTTTTTTATAACACTCATGCCTCTGATCGTAATTTACTGGACCATATAACTTAATGATACATATGCGATTTCTCCGCAAATAACATTGAATTTTTCAAATTACAGCCCACAATATCATGTTGAATAATTTACAGACCCGCAAGAAAAATTACTATTTGATGACATAAACGCATTCATTGATATTTCGGTACATTCCTATTTTGCAATCACGTTCGCGGTAGCCGTCCGAATGGTACCGAAGGTTCCGGGTTCGATGCCCGGAGAAGGCATGCATATTTGCAAATGTATAGTGTCTTTGTGGCATAGGGGCATTCTAAATATATGGAGAGCCGAAAATCCTCTCGTGTGGGTTCGTAAAAGGGGAAAGGGGTCGGAGACCCTCGTACAACCCCACCCGGGGTGCTGTCCCTCAAAATTGGGATTGAAATAGAATTCCACCCCCCTTGAGGCTCTGATAATCATTTTTACTTATTACGTGCTCGTCTCTTAGGCACTACACGGAAAGAGTATAATGGGTATAATCCCCGTGGAGGTCTTTTTAAAGGAAATTGGCTCGTATACACGTTACACATAGGGAAAACCCCGAAAACACCCATGCAGCCAGCGTCGCCGAGACTCGAATCCCGAACCGAACTCTCAGTGTTCAGCGAATTTTACCGCTTGACCTCTGACATTCACTCTTTCCTGAAATTCATGGACAACAGCAACCTTCTCTGTAAATCAGAAGTCAAACTCTGGTAACCATGCGTTTGACAAACATTCAGTTTCGCACGCGTTAAT